TACAAATATTTTAAATATATTTATACATAATTAAATGTATAACTATTTATAATATTGTTTTAATAACAAGCAATTTCTTTTCAAGCTCAAAACCAATTGCTTTTCGATTTAGGGTGGCCTATAAGATTAAAGCTGTATTTAGATGGAAACGGAGCAAACCTGTGCCAATTGCATTGCACAGTGCCAAAAAATTTAGCTTAAATGAATGGTGAGGTAGAAATGTATGTTCACCGTGCCGCAGTTCTAAAATTTAAATGGTGCTTCGAGCTTTAGTGAAAAAAAACTCACCACCAGTGAACTCTATCTTTCCTAATAAGCCTCTGTTGTCTTTTTTTTTTTTAATGTAGCAATGAAAATGTATTTAGTCTATTTTTGTCTTTTTTTATTTTTATTTTTTTATTTAAAAGTTTTTTTTCATTTTTTTATTTGTAAATTTTATTTTAAATAAAAATAATTAAAATGCTAATATAAAAAATAATTATTACCAATTTTTAAAAAGTCATTTTTATATATTATTATCAATTTTATTAATTTTTAAATATTTATTAATAAAATTATTATTTGAAATAAAACTAATTTTAGTAATTTTTAATTATTTAGTAATTTTGTAAATGTAAAATAATTTAATTTTTTTATTTTATATAAATTTAATATAATATTTTTAAAGATCATTTTTTATTTTTACTATTCTTTATCTTACTATCACTATTATGATTATATCTAAATATATATTTCACCATTAATTTTAATTTCATCACTATAATATTCAATTTTATTATTATAATAATTAATCTCACTGTTATCGTTATTTTTAATCTCATCAAAATTAATTTTATTATCCATCTAAATGGACGTTAAAAATGTTACTTGGTGAGATTGCAGCTTTGAAAAACAATTTTCATCTCACTGGAAGGCATTATGGCACTAGCCATCTCGTGCGCTTGGACAGAGAGATCCACTACTTTGTGCAAACTACAAATATCATTGGTAGAGATAAAGACACAAAAAATCATACAAATTTTGATGCAAAGTCCATCAGATGGTCACAATGCCAAGACACAATTTGCAAGGTCTTCCTGAAAAGGAATCTTTGTCTTTGTTTCTGCAGTTTGCATTCAAGAAAGGGGAAATGAATCAATGTAAAAATTGGGGAAGAGATAGTTGGAAACTTGGGAGCTCACTCCTTTCCAAAACTTTAGAACATGATTGGAAACTTGTGAGAGACAATGAGAGGAGGAAATTAATGGAAAAGGAAAAAAACATTTTCCCTATTTTGAAATTGAGTTATGATGAATTGTCTCCATATCTCAAACGATATTTTGCATTATTTTCAGTCTACCCAAAGGAATGCTAGTAATTGACGATTGTCCCTAATTGTCATCTATGCCAGAGTGGATGCTGTGCCTCAAACAATTGGGAATTCATAGATGTCCGATTATGAGCGAAAGAGGCAAACCATAAATGGGAGAGGATTGGGCCAAGATTGCTCATGTCTTTAATATATGGATTGATGGCAACGAAATCTCATCATCAAACAAATTATTTGCCTGACGGAGAACTAATTTTTCCAATTTTTTCTTGTACTTCAATTTTCTTTCTTTCCTCCATCTATATATCAAAATAATAAGACATGATTTATTTTTAATTTCTTATATAAAGCTTTTTGGAGAAATGATAAAAGTGATTTTAGTCCTTATTCTAGAAATCAATAATTAAGATTTTTTTTTTTTTTGGTAAAATGATCGACTAAGTAGTAGATATATATATATATATATATACACTAATTTTTGGCATATGTGTGACATATGTGTAATTTTTATCTTTAAAAATCCATTCCAATAAATAATTTTTTATACTATAATAATAATGATAAATTCAATAATTTAATTTTGATTTTAATATAATTTAAGTAAAATTTGATAATTTTTTTATATAATTTTAATTTTGATAACCTTTAATAAAATTTTGGCAACTTTTGATAGATTTTGATAACTTATAATATAATTTTAGTAACAATCAATACCATTTTAGTAATTTATGATAAAATTGTAGTAACCTCTTGATATAATTTTAGTAATCTTTTGATAGCTTCTAATATCCTTTTGATAATTATTGATAAAATTTGTGTTATCATATATTTAACAATAAATTTTAGTAAAAAAAACACAAGTTTAATTACAGTATAAGATAATTTTCTTTTTATACAATAACATTATTATTTCATTTAAATTTAGAATTTTTGTTCACTAAATTGTTTTATTAGATAGGTTTATAGTACGATTATTTTAATCTCCCAAAATAAAATTTCTAGCTCTATTTTTGCTAGTAATCAAAATTCAATTCCTAACAACTTCAAATTTAAAAAAAAAAATTATTAATGATTAATAATTAAGTTATCATTGGTTTACTATTATATAAGTAATTTAACACGTAATAATAAATTAAAATCATAACTTTTTATACTAATGTAAATATTAAAACTAAATTAAATAAATATATACAATATACATTAAGTCAACATTTTAAAGATATTCTTCAAATTTTTTATTTCATGATAAAATAATACATATTAAGATAAGTTTTATTAATGATTTGATTAAATTATTAGTATATTATTTTCATACCTGTTAGTGAAATACAATTACATATAAAAAAATAAAAATTTTGAAACGTTCTAGCACCGATAGAAGTAATAAATTTTACTTTATGCTTTTATCATTTAATATATAATTTTGGGTAACAATTTTGTTATATATATTATAAAAGTAATAAAAACAAAACTACTAAATAAAATTTATAAAAATTAAACAGATTACAATTTTAAAAAAAATTAAATTCACAATAATTACTTTTGTAATCTTCATAAATTTTTTGCATCTAAATAAAAAGGATTTTATATTTTTAATTATTGTTTTATTGTTGTTATCATCATTCAAAATGATTTTTTTATATATATTTTGATACCAATCAATTTCTTTATTCGAAAAAAGTAAAAAATATTGTAAAGAGTCATAAAAATTCAAATAATATTTAACTTTATATTATCTTCCTAAATTAGTATAATCTATGTATCTCTTTCAAATTAAACGTTAAATTATTTCCTTCAACCTATATAACAGTAACTTGGTCAACAATGAGCAATTATAAACTCGTTGATTTATATTAATATTTTTGCAATAGAATTTCAAAATCCACAAAAGAAAATTTATCCTTTAATCTTTGTAAGGCTTGGATATAAAATTTTTCTTCTAGAATTATTATTAGTATTTTCATCATTTTTGCACTTAAATTTTCATTGTGTTGTATTGTTATTCTATTTTGAAATTTATTATTAGTATCTTAAAAGTATAGCTAAAATAATATGAATTAATCAACTCAAATTAAGTATAAATAAATTTTTTACTCTTTTTAAATTTTAATTTAATTAAAAATAATATAATTAAATAATTATAAAAATTACTAACTTGACTTGATTTCAATTTATTTTAAAAGTTAATAACTCAATAGTTATTTAAAACCCGAAATGATTGAACATAACCAAAATTTAAATCAAAATAAAAACTAATCAAAATCAAATATTTTTTATTCATCTTCCATGACAATTTAAAATTTCCTTATTTAAGTTTTTCTTCCTTCATCTTTAATATCTTATTTTTATTGTTTTTTTTTGTTGAATTAGTGAATTAATTTTTTAAAGTATTTTTAAAATAAAATTATAATTATAAATAACAGAGTATACTTTTTTTATTTAGATTTAGGACAATTTGAATTCAGCTTTTTAAATTAAAAAAAATATGTATAAATTATTGAGTCAAATTTGCTCATTATATAAGTAAATAATTGAGTATACTATGAATAAAAGTAGATAATCAAATTTAGCTCAACTTAATTAGTCGTTGATCATAAGTCTAAAATCAAACTCGAAATTATAAAAAGTCAAAATTCAAAATAATTGAAATACTAAATACATAATTAAATAAAGATGTATCAAATAAATTTTATTAATAAATACCTTTAAATCACTTCTAACTTTAGTTAAATTATAATTTATAATAAAATTTTTATATTGAATGCAATAGTGATAATTAATTCGATAACTTTCAATTCTTTTAAACAAACATTATCTAATGTAACAACCTTAAAATTTTTGATATAATTGTGAATATTCTTAAAACTGAAATAAATGAGAAAATAAAGGAGTATACAATATTTTTTCAAATAAAAGAGTATTATATGAATTCTAAAAAAATTTGAAATAAATACATTTGTATATTTTTCATTGAATATCATATAACACTAACCTTTTTTATCATATGAAAAAGATGAAATTATGCATAACCAATCAGTATTTCGTTTATTTTTTTTGCTTAGAATAATCTTACAATGATACTTCCATCAATTAAACATAATTGTACTTCTTTCAATGGAAAACTTAATTTTAACTTTATTTAAAAAATTTTATTATACATAAATTTTTATTATATAAAAATATTAAAATATATAATTTAAAAAATAAAATAAAATAAAATAAAATCCTAATGTTTTATTAAGAAATTGTCAATTCTAAAAATAACAAACTTATTATGTAATATCTATACTATTTATAATAGTTTTTTATGTGTTAACCTTGAATTAATCATTATTTTAAAATGACAACACATTAAGTTAAATAAGTTTGATTATGATTTTACAAAATAAATTATTTGATACATTATTTTCATGCTTCATTATCTTGTACTAAATACATGATTTATTTATCAAAATGATTTTTTGTGTGCTAAAATATAGAAAACTCGAAAATATGCTTTGAACTTAAAAAAAAAAAATGTTTGTAAGTATTTTATCATGTGAAAAATGATTTCAGATCATAAATTAACTTCTTTCCATGATTGAAAAATATTTTATACAAAAATGAAAGAAAGGGATCGATCCCTCAAACAATGAATCTATGCCATACTCCAATAGATTGATTAATATTTTATGCAGAAAACTTCTAAGTTTTACAAAAATCAATCAATCTCCTAATTAAAAGAATCGATCGGGTATAAGATTTCATGGATAGAATCAATCGAGTCTTTGTATGGATCGATCCAGTCTCAAGCAAAAAGTAGCAGGAACTTGTGAAATTGGCTACAAAATCGATCAGGTAATCGTCCATGAAGCAATCTTAGTTTCAAAGTGCAAGAAAGTTTCAATCACCCATTATAGTGGATCAATCACCTTAATTAGAGGATCGATTGGGTACTTGAATCAATAGATCAAGTCGTGCTTGATTGGCTCCAGTGGCTAGTTTCTTCAAGTTTCAATGGTCATTCTCTTCTTCAACCCACCCTTAACAGCTATTTTTTCAATTTCTCTATAAATTAGACATTCTAACACATCATGACGGCTGAGAAAAACAAGAGAGAAGATGCAAAGAAGCATTAAATCAGTATCTCTGAAGAAACAAGGAGTTTAGAAAGAGCAGCTTCACTTTATCGTGGGAATCATGGCTCATGGCCATATGACCCCCAATCTGCCCATGACAGTCATCGCTGGATTATTGGCACAGCAAGGCGTGATCGTAACCATAGTCACAACTTCTCATAATGCAACCCTATCCGTTTAGTTGAATTTCGATTTCCATGTCTAGAATCAGGATTGCCAGAAAGGGTGTGAGAACTTCGATATGCTGTCTTCTTTTGGCTTAAGCCTTGAATTTCTTCCAAGCAACCAACATGCTCGAGAAGCCAGTTCAAAAACTATTTGAGAAGCTAATCCCACGGCCAAGCTGTACCATTTCTGATGTCTTGTTGTCATCTACGCTCAACTTGGCGCTATTTGCAGAACAGTTTGCCAACGAGAAATTGGCTGTACAAATAATTAAAATTGGAGTTAAGGTTGGAGCAGAGAAGCCTCTAAGGAGAGCAGAAGAAGAGAAAATTGAAGTGTTAGTGAAGAAGGAAGATGTTAAAGAAGCTATAGAACGGTTGATGGATGGAGTAGAGGAAGGAGAATAGAGAAGGAAAAGAAAAGGCTGTTAAAATGGGGGGATCTTCTCACCTCAACATTACAAAGTCAATCCAAGATATCATGCAAAGAGCTTATGATAGGAAGCAAGCTAGCACCTGAGATGAAGTAGTTCATATCTGCATTGTAAAGTTCTTTTCAATCCCATATACATGTTTATTTTTTATACAAAGAAAGCCGTAGCCTAAAGATAGAGAAAAAAGATTGCAGATATTTAGATTTGAATCCCAAATCTACTAGATACTACCTCTTAAAAGTGATTACATGAACTAAGTTAAGATCCGACTAAGAGAGATGAAGATAAATAACAAATAAGTTCCAATGAGAGAACATTGATAACATAAATCAGAACAGAGAGGCAAGATGTAGAAAAAAGTTTGTGGCATTACTTTCTCTAAATTAAGGTATAGCCATCAGATACAAATTAACGTCTTATTGTTATAAATATAACTAAAAGTTGCATAAGTTTTTTTTCTTTTTTTAATCAAAGGAGGAACCGCCCTACATTGATGAAATTACATAGGGATATTCTATGTAACATTCAAAGGTTGAAAAGGTGGCAACAAAACCTATAGGCATTTTGCCTCAATTTCCTCAAGCGTTAGCCCTTTTGTCTCTGGTACAACGAAGAATATAAAGAGGAGAGACAATACCGCTATCACTCCAAACACATAAAACACAATTCCAGCTCCCAGCCATGCCTATAGTCAAAAAAGAAACAACAATAACTAACAGCTGTACGTAAAAATCATGGAATTTTGGAAATAGAAAAAAAAAGACGAAAAATAATGCCATAATCTACCTTAAGCAATATAATTTTAAAGAAGAAAAACAATAGTACTTAACAATTTATTTTACCCTTCATGATTCAAAAAACAGGGCATGAGGACAGTAATATATCTACGAGCCAAGGCAAGGCCAATAAAACAGATCAGTTAAGAAAATGATACTACTATTATTTTACACATATTTGCCATTTTAATGGACACTGACAGTAGTCAACATTATGACTGTAATAGAAATTATGAAGATGAATTATCTCGGTCAACTCTCGCATTTTTAGTGAGGATAGCATGCATCTAAGAGAAGAAATTAACAAAAGTTTCAAAGGAATTATGATTGAGACAGTAAATATGTTTAAACACTTAGGTACCTTCAGAGGAGAGAATGCAAATGTAACAAGTGCATTTGCTCCAAAATTCACAAGCACAGCTATACTAAGTCCTCGCCCTCTGAGACGTAGGGGAAATACCTCCGAGATCATCAGCCAACCAATAGGACCAAAGGATAACTGCAAAACAAATTTTGATTCAGAATAGGTGCCAAGGAAAAAAGATAAATAGAATTGAATCCAAAATTTATAACCCACCATTGTGAGAAACAGGGAAAATTTTCAAGTGGTACAACTGACAACCAAATACTCAAAAGAATTTTAGACACAAATATTCCTCCACACTTAAAAAATACTAACATAGGCCACATATATCCATTCTCATCCTGGCTGAATGAAAAGAAAGATTACGGCTTGCCATATAAAATAATCAACCCAATGGAACCATTAAATTATCAGAACTATGCTAGAAGACATAAATCTACTAGTTTAGATAACTCTTTAAAATCTTCCATATTAGCATTCATCTTAACTGCAATGTTCTTAGCAACAGCATTAGATAAGGATTAACATGACATAAATTGACCAGCCTAATAATGTTTCAGCTCTCTTGAAACACAAATACAAAATAAAGAAAAAAAATAGCCTTACATAACAGCAATGCTAGATTTAAATTGCAATTAATAGAGTAAAGCATTCCTATATTAGAAGCACAGTAAAAACAAAAGCTAGTGAAGTATGGTGACAAATGTACCGCAATACATTAATTAACAGAAGCCGATAGAACAGTGAGGCAAGCACTACCATGGTGCAAATTTTCCACTACCATTTTAATGAATTGCCTTGAATACAAACCAAACAGAAACAATTAAACATAGAAGTATGGTCCAGATGTAATACTGTTTCAGTCTAACCAACATGTACAGAAACTTGTAAGGTAATGATGGTATAGATGAGTATTGTCATGTTAAACTCATAGATAGTGGAATGAGAATTAACATGAAGGAAAGATAATATTGATTACCTGATAACACCCAACATACAAAAGCAGTGCAACAACAGCTATAGCTGGCACATCATCCAGGAAAAGGTAATATGAGCCAAGAAGGAACAAAGAAATAACCTGTTTCACAGACAAAGAACATATTTCATAACAGGAAATTGTTTTTCAATTCTCACTGGTATATCAAGTCAAATAATTGTAACTCAGATTGATTTTTTTACTTGCAGCAAGTGAACATTAAACTAAAGCAAGCAGAAACATTGATCCAACAGAATGACCTCACAAACTTTAAAAGAACAAGAAAACTTTTGCCTCCATCAGCTCAAGATTTCAGCATTAGTGCAAATAACAGAGGTAAAAGGACTTACCATCCCAGAAACACCACCCAATAATAAAGGTCTCCTCCCAAGCCTATCAACAACTACAACAGCTACTCCTGTCATAATCAACTATAACAACAAAAAAACATGTCAAGACTTTCTGGTTGAAGCAGCTGTCAAGTCCCCTTTTAGGAAAGATTTCGTCAATCATGCAGAAGGGAGCAATGGGAACAATTGTATAGGCATAAAATGATAAACAAAAAGAAAGACTTTTTGTCTATGACATCATCTTGATAGCAGGTAACATGTGTTTTGTCATATGCATGCTTGACCAACCAGAGAAATAGAGATAGCTAATCATACAAAAACACAATAAGCCAAAATCTTCCAAAGCACTAAAGATATGTAGTTTTTCAAAATGACTATATCAGACTTTTGGTAAAGGCGATACTCAGAAACTTTGAAAATGTTAGTGAATATCTTTCCTATGGTTGAAAAGCGGAGTCAAACATCTTGTGTCAACTAAGTAAGGTGAAAGTTTAAGAGTGCATATATGCACATACTCTCAACAGCATAAAGCAAGAGAAAATAAATATGCACAAATATGAAAAATTAAACAGTATGAGATAGTAAGTACAAATTTTCAGAATTGGTAATTGTCAGGATGAAATTTGAAACTTATTGAAGACGTCCCTAGAATATGCTTGAAAAAGAATATGGATTGAAACAGGTATGTGTTGTGGCCCAAATATTAAATAATTTGATTGCTTTGCATATGGCACTAGAACTTCCATGCCCAAAAATCAAATGTTTTGCCTAAGTGCCTTTAAAAAATTTGATGTATCAAGTAAGCAAATCTACCTTCAGTAAACCAAGTAGAATAGAGACTCGGGTAGCATCAGATGCTGCAGAAAATCCTGCACTCTATCATATTTTCATCGGTTAGGATGAAGTACTTGTCCTATATCCATAACAAATCACTTTAAATTTGCAATGATACCATAAAAGTAAATCAATCTGATACCTGAAAGATTGATGCAGCATAATATAGCACACTCGGTTGACCAGTGATCTATCATGAAAATTGAAGATATAAATCAGTCAACTGCAGGTACATAATAACTTCATATCATAGCTCCTTAGGTCATGATAATACCTGTTGAAACAAAACTAAACCTACACCAATAATCATGGCTTTCAAGCATTTTCCACGGAACATTTCCCCAAGTGTGACTTCTTTTTCTTCACCAACATAAGAAAGCTCAGTCAAAATCTCATCTACCTGCTCAGAAGCTGATTCACCAATAGATTGACCCCTGAGTCGGCATAAACAACGTATTGCGGTTTCTTTTAACTCCTGCATATTGCCTTTTCCCTGTATGGCACGCAATAGCAGCCATCTGGGTGATGCTGGAAGCCACCACATTCCAATTCCCATGATCACCGCCAAAGGGGTACTTGCTCCATACATATAGCGCCAGCCAGCAACTGTTTCAACTAAGAGGCTGCCAATCCCATAACCAGCCTGCACAATATGGAGGACTTAAAACAGAATTCAAAGAAAAGGGGAAAAATTTTTGAAGCAGATATTAGTGGATCGAAAAATTCAAACTATGATGACTTAAAATAAATTGAAAATTCCTGAGAGAAAAGTTGAAGCACTTACAACCATCCCAAGAACTATAAAGAACTCTTTGAGAGAAATTAGTAGACCACGAATCTGACTTGGAGCTGTCTCAGCAATGTACATTGGAGCAGAATGCATTGCCTAGAAGTGAATAAACTAATATTCATTGATTCAGACAATAATGACTAGATCTTTTAAAATAATAACTAAAGCACCAAGAAGTAAGTTCTTGTTTATAGTTGCAGATGATGTTTTTTCAATGAGTCCATTGCCCTGCCAGCTAATAATCAAATTTGCAGTTTCTCAGAATATAAAAATAAAACAATTTATTCAAATGTTATCTTGTTACATAAATGATATGCTGTTGCGCGTAGAGGATATACATGTACATAGTTCTCAACAGAAAAAGCATGTGTGGACCCAAAAGAAAGAGGTGTATGCTATGACATTGTCATTAAGAAAATTCATAAGCTAATGCCTGAGGATTTAGTATATTACCAGTCCAATCCCTATGCCATACGCAAAACGTCCAATCACCATAACTGCAAAGTTAGGTGAAAATGCTGTCACAAGAGCTCCAACAAGGTACATGATGGCAGAGGTAATTAGCTCTCTTCGTCGTCCTATAAATCAGATAAATCATTGCAACTTCATCAGAAAAAGCCTCATCATCCAGTTCAAAGATATGGTTCCCAGCATAAAATATGAAAATAAAATAAAAAAATAAACCAACAAACAAATTGACCTAGAAAATCAGCAATATTGAAAGCCAAGACTGAGCCAATCAAGGCCCCATATAATGAGCCACTTGTCTGCAGAAAGCAACACAAAGAGAATTTGCACCGTAAGTTCTTTGCATTGCTACTAACAAACATGTGCTTCAAGAAGAAAAGGGAAAATGGAGAAGGGACAAAGAATAAGAAAGATTGCACTAATAATTAATAAATGCCAAGTAAAAACAAGAAACAAGTTAGCAACTCACAATGAGACCAATTGCAACAGAAGACAAGTCATACCAAGAAATTCCACTTAGGGTAGCTGACTGCAGGAACATGAGGATTACATAAGCATCGAGAAACATGGTAAAATTTAAAGTTTAAAGAATTAATTACAGATCCAAATAGTATAAGACAAGCATGACATCAATAGAAATTGTGGTAATTCATAAAAGGTATACCTCAATAGAAATTGTGGCACAGGATGTAGAACCAATATCATAACCATATAGGAGTCCTCCAAGCGCTGGGAAAAGAAATCTGAAATCATTAAGACGTTCCTTCAGTAAGAAAATAGTAATTAGACAAACTTTTTGGTTCCTTCAAATTATAACAAATGATCAACTAATTACATATCAGCCTTCATATTTCAATTAGATTGGTAGCTTTGAAAATTCCATGGATTGCACCCTGAATTTTCTATTCTGATAAATAACCCCAATCATTGATGAGAGTCCAGCATATTTATGAGAATTACATTTTATTACACGTTTCTTCCTTTTTATGTTTACGCAAGCATTTACATTTTTACTCCATTGAAGCACGTGTTTAGATCATGAGGTGCTTCCAGATATGATGAAATAATTAAAAGGAGAAAGAAAGAAAGAAAGAAGCAGCTCTATCCCATCAGAGAACCTTGGATTGCATTACAATTCCGAATCAAATCTGAGCTAATTCAAGTTCATTAAATAACAGACAGGTTCATACAAGTCAAAGTTATTTTTTCTTTAGTTTAACCAACTAAAACGAAGAATATATTGGAATAATAATAATCATTTCCCCCCAACTCCCATAAATGGACTTCTTTCATAGTACAAAAGGCCCAATCTTGTACCAGCATCCAATTTTTGGATATTTGCCAAAGCACAAATTTGCCCAACTAGTTACTATATATTTGAAATCATGAAAAGAAGGATACGATTGTCAATATCTTCACAAACTCCTGATTGTTTCATGTTTTTCATTGCATATTAGAACATAATTCAAGATAAAACCAAAAAGTAAATAAAAATCTTGGAAGAGAAACTTACGGAAGAATAGCAGCAGAAGCAGAATAGCTTTCAGAAATGTGAGTTCCGTTAATAAGAGGTTCATGTTCTGAACCAATCTCACCAGAAGTCTTTCCCACCAAGTAAATCCACAATACATGCAACAACTCAAAGATTAACTTATGCAAGTAAAAGGCAAACCTTCCGGTTAATTACAGAGAAAACAGGGTACTCTAAAGGATATATTCACAAACTATCATTATGTCTTCTGCTACTTTGAACTTAAATAAATTAAAAACTCATAGAACTAAGTCAAATTTTTGCATTAATAAATGGAAAGTATTAAGTAACATTTCCATTTTTTTCACAATAAATTATTTAGAAGAAAGGTATTATTTGGGTTATTTATTTATTTTTTAACACTACAGAAGGAAAAAAATTCTTTGTTTGATTGATAAGCAAAAACGAAGAAGCTTAAAAAGAAATTTGCGTAATATGCCCTGCTCAGGAGCAAACAACTGTTCATCACTTCATTCAAACTCTGTAACAAGGATACCAACTAATACCCAATACTTGTCCTTCATTTTCTTACATACACGTTCATGCATTTTCTTCGCAACCAAACAGAGAAAGAAAAAAGAAAAAGAAAACCCAGATTGGGTAATGAAGAGACAAAACCTTTCCAAGAGAGGAAAGCCCGGGTTGCTCATGATCTGATGCCATGCTTTTTTGAAACTCTGAAACTGCAACAGAGTTAGAACTTGTAAAGCGACTAATGAGCAGATTGACAAGCAAAGTTTTTTTCTTTTTTGGAAGTAGCAGATGAAATTTTTAGTTTTTGTTGGAAGAAAGTTTTGTACTTATAAGAAGAGGTTTTTGAAGGTAGAAATTGGATAAAAGAAAAAGAAAAACGAAAACTTTGAATGTTGGTTGTCAGGTGGCAGTTAAGGGCTTAAGGCATTTTATTTTTTTTATTTTTATTTTTTGGGCTTGTCCAATTTTCAATGGAAAGAGATGGATGTTTCCAGATGAATATGATTTTGAAATATTCGGAGGATATAACAATACAAGCGATTTTTACTTACTTTAAATTATTATTATTATTATTATTTAAGTTTTTGTAATTTTTAAATTATATTTGATTTAATGTGAATATTATCTAAAATTTTTTGTTTATTTTAATAAATATAAAATTGTTTTATTATTTTTTTTTTTAAAAAAAAAACCATGTATTAAAAATTTTATTTATTCGTCAAACTCCGAGGAAATGAGATAGACAAAGGAAAAGAAACTTTTAACTCTATTCTAGGAAAAAAAATGGATTATTGATATTTTGGTCCTTGTGTTTTACTCAATTTCTTAAACTTCTCCTTTTATTATGTTTTAATTTCACATATATGTAATTACATCCTTTCAATAATTTTTTACCATCCTTTATAATTATACAATACTATGATAAATTTTTTTTGTTGTATGTACATTTATAATTAGTTCATGCAACTGATTTTTGTTGGTCCAACTAAACACACCTTTTTATTTTTCTCGAAATTTACCTAATTCTTGAGTTTTATAGCATGTTTTAATAAGAGTTTATTTGATTATGTTGAAATTATAAAAAAAAAGTTTGTTAAAATAGAATTTTGATTAAAATAATAAAAATATTTTTTAATTTTATCATTTTATTTAGATAAATATTTATATTTTTGTTACACTTAAATAAATTCTTAAACTTTAATTTACATTCAAATAAACTTTTAATATTTAATTTATATATAAATAAATCAATAATCTTTAATTTATACTTAAATAAACATTTAATATGAATCAATATTTTTTGAAATAAGAGTTTATTTAAATATATATAATAAAAATTTATTTGAATATAATAAAAATATAATAATTTATTTAAGAAAAATAAAATAGTTAAAGGGTTTTTTTAATATTTTAGCTAAAATTAAAATTAAAGATGACAACACTCGAAACAGTATCTCACCCTAACTCCAAGTCGTCTCCTAAAAGCTTCCATCCAAATACAACCCGATCCAATATTATGTTATTATATTTGACATCTGGTCCAATATATATTTATAATTTCTGTTCAATTTATATTTGACTTGAAATTTATTTAATAATTTTAATTTGATATAATATTAATAATAATATTATTTTTTAATATAAATTATATCTTAATTATAAATAAATATAATATTTTATTAAATTAATATTAAATTAAAATATTTAAAAAATATTTTATTAATATATAATATAAAATTAAATAAATAATAAAAAATATATTTTATATATCTCGATAAGTATCCTAAAACCCAATCCTTAATGTTTTAAAAAATACCCATCCCTCCTCTAACTAGATCTTCAATTTTAATAAAAATTATTCTTATTAAATTAGTATAAGTCAAAACTCGTTGGATATAAATAATTTTTTCATAATTATAATCTCTTACTCTATTCACAATAGACATTTCACAGATTAGAACTCAAAATTTTATTTTATGATTGAGTAATTTGATTATCACGAAGGTTTGGCAATTTTGGCTGATATCGTGGGTGATCATTTTGTTAAATTATTTCATATATATATATATATATTATTTGTATGCATAATTTATAAAGCAAAAAGGAGTTTGGTAGAACAAGTGACAAAACCAAACATTTTGTGATGTCGCACATGATGTTTTTTTTGTCAGAGATATTTTAGTGTTCAATAATCACTTTAAATTTTAATTAATTTAAAATCAAATTAAATCAGATCTTATAAAAAAGTAAGTTCTCTTAAACTTGTTTTTTTTATAAGTTCTTTCAAACCTATTTTCTTTATATTTCATAAAGGAACAAACCCTTTTAAATTTATTATTTTTATTTATAAGACTCAAAATTAAAATTTTATTTTAAAAAATTTGAACTCCTTTTTACTCGAATCAACAAACATCATATGAAATTAAACCAACAGCTTAAAATCCTGCTGGCAATATCATATTGCAGTGGTCTTTTTGGCTATCGTTGGTCCAAGTATATACCTATTTTTACCAATGATTTTGGTCCAAACAATAGAAGCCACGTTTTTTGTAATTTTATCAGAAAAAAATCCATTTTTTTTATAAAAAAAATTTATTATCTAAAGATAAGGAATAAATAAATTATAAATGTTAATATTTTGAATTAAATTTATTGATGTGATTTTTTTAAAAAATGACAGAATTAATTAACTCAAATAAACTCCAAAATAAAAATACTTCAAATCTAACTAAAATAGACTCTCTTTTTCTCTTTGTCCGGATCACATTTCTTTGAATATCAATTTGTTTTGATGTACATACATGCTCAAGGCAAAACTTTTCTTTAAGCATCACTATCGAGTGATTATTCTTATAATACTTTATTCTAAAATTTATTACATATATACCCTTCTTGTCATGTTAATTAGGGATTCAATAAATCAAGGTATCATTTAGAATAAAAGTTTATTATATGAATCCATATTTAGTTTGACATTACTATTGCTATGTGTTAGATGATGGGCCTGAGGCACAATGATCACAAAGCCTACAAGCCTGAGGACATGATAATCATTTTAAGTAGATAAGTCGTATTTTTTAATGATTGAACTAAATTTTAATTACTAAAATCAATAATTTTTTTTATTGTTTTCATAACGATCATTGATTGTTTAATTTTAATTTTTTTAATTTTAAAAGGTATTTAATTTATTAATTTTAATGTGTTTAAAATTTTTTGAAATATTTTATTCAAATAAATTTTATTGAAAAAAACTTTTTTTTAAACAAACTAGGTTTACATTTCTTAACTCATGAGCTTCCAATGAGTAACGCTTTATCTCTTTCACTGCCTTCATTATACATTTCTGTTGATCTTATCTCTCATAATATAGTTCAGAAGGGCTTTACGTGTGCTAAAAGATTGAATTTATTTAAAATTTATCTTTCATCTTTCATGGGACTTAAGTTTCCTAAACTTTGCCTCTTGTTGCTTGAATATGATACGGAGTTTTTAATTGAGAATGCCCAATTGTTTTGAGTTGTTCAGTCTCTTATACTTCAATGGTCAGAAGATGGATTTTACTTTGAAATTCCATTGAGTGCTGCATGGAAGAGAAAAATATGATTTTATGAACTTTTATCTTTCAGCATTCTTAGGTTTTCAGTTTCCTAATTGAGTTGCATTATTGTTGGTTTTTCGTGATAGTAGTTTTTTATTGGAGAAAGCCTAATTGATTGACGTTTTAATAGGTGAAGTAGGGTATGGCAGTGAGAAGGAAGTCTACGTCTTCAATCTAATGCAGCTGAGTTTGACAGAAACTGAGCCAACAGAAAGCAACAGGATGACAAAAGGTGGTTAATGGGAGGCTATTGGTGCAGAGATGAAGATTTATCATGAGGGTGAAATTGTTGGGTTCAGGAACACTTTTTCGTTTTACATGGGACAGGCACCAAAAGGAAAGAAAAGTTCGTGGGTCATGCAAGAAGTCAGAGTTAATCCCTGTGTGGCTCCTGTTTACGAACTCAGTGACAGCATTAAGACCAAGGTACCTTTACCTTGGCCTTAAAATTTTGTACCTGTTGCCAAAATTCTGATTCGTTACTGACATTGCATTTTGTTTGACTTCTTTCAGTTGGAGAGGTATGTCGTTTGCATGATCGACAACATGGCCATCCGATACAATATCAGCAGATGGAGGACGCCAATCTAAATTCATGACAAGAAAAGGCTAAACTAAAGAGATGAATTTATGTTTGTTTTCTATTGTTAGTTACTTTCTTTGTAAAGAAACACGAAGAACCAATTCCAAGATTTGTTGAATATTGAGGGATTTTGTGTCAAAGGGAAGTTAAGTAAGCAGAATGTAGAAACTGAACTTTGAATTGCTCTGCGGTTCTTTAGCGGTTCAACCGAATAATCTAAAGTTGCACATTGTTATAGGTTTCATTTTATGTTAGAGTTCCTGGGAAACCAACAGATAGTAAAATCTGTTCATAGAAGCATTATTGTGGCATTTTTTTTCTTTGTTTATTTTTTTCTGGTTTTAAATATCCCTTCATATTTTAATCTCCATGAATGAGCGTGGAATCATCTCTTCGGTTGCTATAATTAGGACAAACACAAGAGGTGAATAAAGCTTGAATTTGTGTTTTCTTGTGTTATAATTTAATTCATTCCGGAGGTTTTTCCTAAGGGAAGTCATTCAGAAGTTTGAATGAGCAGTTAGGGAGATCCTTTTTGCAATTACTATTCTCATCAAGATTTCTCAGTTATGTTTATTACTGTGGTCAAGGCTGCTGTAGAAGAGGATTGGCTAGAATGAAACAATGCCTTCTATTGCAGTATTTTCTTTCATCTTGATAGTTTCTTTCATGGTTTTCTTCAATAACTATTTCTTGACAGTCGTGTAAGGTTTTTGATTCAAATGTGATCATCTTTGGCTTGCCTAGTCCTTTCATTTGAGTAAGTTATTTATGGTTATGCTTTGTTGTAATTATTAGTAGAAAATCTTTTGTTCATTTTTCAACTGTCATGTAGAAAAAAAAAGCTTTATGTGACCTTTATTCCATATTAAAGTGCTGGTGTATCTAAGTCTCTCTAAGAAACTATGAACTTCAATAAACTCGAATGGAAAAGATCATTTCATTCCTTGAAGCGTAATTTGTTTTCCTTCTTGATTTGGCATTAGGTTGTTATCAACCCTCTCTCTGCACTCCCCCTTCTCTTGTAACTGTTGTGTGCCTTTCCTCATTTTCCAGCATGTATTGTAATTCCTTCAGCGCATGTGTATGTGTGTGTATTTTACCATATAGTATGAAACGAAATATGCAGTATTGTTTTTTGTGCAATTAAACAGTTATTTTGTAGAACTTGCTTATTCTCTACATGTATATAAAGTTTATTAATGCATTTTCTAGCTACCACATTCCATTATTATTGGGTTATTTTCACTGTGCTAATAAGTTTTTGTCTTAGTTATATGGTCCTGGCAACTACAGGATCAAATAACTTCGTTTCACGTCACCAGTACTCAAAGCTTATCCAGTATATGCTTCACTTGTCTATGTAATAGGACGTCAACATAAGCTCGATCCTGGCTGCGAGGTCCAATTTTTGAGCTTGCATGCGGTGATTTCTAAACTTGCATAGAAAGGATGGAGAAACAGAGCATTCTGATCACCATCGTATCAACTAGGAGAAACAGGGCATTAAAAGTTTTCTGCTTATATTTTGCATGTGTCAATGTTTTTCATGAGATTGTTCATTCTAAATTGTCTTATTCTCATTTTATGTTATGTCTTTCAAACTTTCGATTTGACTTTTATTATTACCTTGTGTGACTAATTCATCTCATGTTTGTTAAATTTGCTTGGTTTCTGTAGCCTGTTGGAATTCTGGTGTACCCCTGTAGTTTTTTTGGAAATTCTACGAGACATTCCAGATTTGCAAATTGTTAAGCTGCTGATTTTGTTTGTTATTGGAAGATCATTTCAAACATGAATGGATGTTATATCCCTACTTTTGCAGAGCACTTGGTTTGCCACAATTGATGATCAATGACAAGTTCAGCTGGAGGGTCATCTCATGGGAACAGCCCAACTCTCATAAAAAAGGTAAGATGACCACGTTATGATAATTTCAACAATAATAGCTAGTATTACACTACATGAGTATTCAGATTTTCTCCATAAATTGAAACTGCTGTTTGCAATCTTTGAGTTCTTTGGTTGGCATTTTAATAATATGAACAAATTGCAGAACATTTTCAAAGGCCTAAATGTTCATATATAAATATATATATATATATATATATGCACTACCAAAAAAATCTAAAGCAGTCGTGTTAGGCTGCTGATTTGTTCCCATTAATATGAATTTACCCTTAAATATAACTTAAATTCAATAAAAAATGTATTTTTTGAATAAACTTTCTAGGATTCATACAAGATACATCTTTGCTTATGGCCAGTTTCTGACCTGATCCTGATGCATCTCTAATCCTTTTATGTGTACAGTGTATTTTATCAACCATTTCCTGCAAGCAGTCACCAACCTTACAGTGGCAGAAGATACTTATGTTTTTACAATTCAGCAAATTCAACCGTTTTCTTCCCATCATGTGCCTTGCGGAAGAAATGTTTGACATAATCTGAATAAAGAACTTGCTTATAGATTGGTTTCTCACCGCTTTCAATCAATTCAGGCAAAGGTCCAATCATATCACCAGGTCTTGGATTGACAAAAATGGGGACAGAAATTCTGTTCTTACTTCCATTGGCTACCACACGATGTTCAACACTCCTATAGTGGCCATTGCTCAGTATCTGCAATGCATCGCCAACATTGATCACAAGTGATCCCTTAATTGGAGGAACATGAATCCAGTTATCACCTTGGTTTCCTCTTACAAAAAGTCCCCCAATCTCATCTTGAAGGAGAATTGTGAGGGTCGAGACATCAGAGTGACGCCCTACTCCAACAGTGAGTTCCGGGTTAGGACAGATGGGATAGTAGTTAAGGTTAGTCCTAACTGAACCCATCAACAACGATTTTTTTGTTTCATCAATCTCATTCACATTTAGACCCTTCATTAACACCTGTAATAGCTGTTTAATGACAACTTCAGACTTCTTCATGTAATCTAGCACTTGTTCCCTGGAAAAAACAAAAAGGTCAATTAATATACTAGTTAGCAAATTGTGTGCATGTCAGGATGTTTTACTTATGCAGGAAAATCTAGCAAGTAATTGGACTCTTACCTGCAGACAGGAGGCCACAATGCAGAAGCCTCTTCTTCAGAGACGTAAAACAGGCTAAGGTAATCTTTCCACTCAAGAGCCTTCTCTGCTTGAGGACTAAAGCTTGTGCCAAACCTCACATTGTTTGAAGATGAATGTTCCTTGGAATACTTATTTTTTACCTCAGCAGGTAACCCAAAGAACCTATAGGTAGCATCTTTAACATTCTCCAGCACTTTAAAAGGTACGGCATGGTTAACAATCTGGAAGAACCCCCATTTTGACGCAGCATCACAAATTGATTTTGCCACTTGGGGGTCTTCCCAGTTTGACATATCAATGATGGGAATGGTTTCTTGGGCTAAGATGTTGGTCATGCACATTCTTTCTTCCAAAGGTTGAATATATCGCTTAGGGAGGGCTCTGAGACCCATTTCAGACAAACCCTTCACTCCATTCCCTTGGTTAATAACAAAATCAGTGAGAGCTGAGGAATCACCGAATGGTTCAGCAAGTGTAGGAGCCATTGGTTTAAGTAATTTGAGTTAAGAGCGAGTGTTGTTTTTGGAAGGGGATAGAGCTTTGAAGAATGTTACAATGAAGAGAATGCAGTGGTGCAGCTTGCATCCAATGCACTGCTATTTATATATACCATATTTGTCTAGCCAGGCACACCACTGATGACTTTTTGTTTTCTTAATTATATTGGTGATATCAAGGAAAATATATGTCTGCCTTACCGACCCAATATAGCGGAGAGTAGCAAAGAGGAGTTTCAACATTCACAAGAGCCAAAGGATTTTTCCGACGGCTTCTTTAACGCAAAAGGAACATGTGCATCATATGTTGGTTTAGGTGAGTCAAATAAAACTTTGACTCCTCCAATTCCCTGTTAAGTTTTATCACCATCCTCCTCTACTCTCACTTATATAATTATCCTAGAATTAATCTGCCCACCTTTTGAGCCCCATTGCTGCATTACCGGAATTAGTCTAAAATGGCAGGCATGGCTTGGACTTCCTCCGACCCTATTTATATTTTACTTAAAGCATGTAGGTTCCTAGTACTTTCGTCTCTCTTTGATTTGTTTTGCAATTTGTATGCAGTCTCCCTTTCCTTGCCTTTTGCTTTGGTGTTGTCTCTTTTCTTCAAAATCATTTTGAAATCGTCACAACTTCACAAAACCCACCTCAATCTCCATTTTAATTTTTCATCTAAAAACTTTTTTTTAAAGAAAATCTATATTATTTTAATCTAATTAATCTTTTAAATCCTATCTATTTCATACATAGATAGATAGAGGGTGTCTCAAGTCTCTATCCCTGAGTCTTTTCTGAATGAATTTGTTGCACTAATTCTTAAAATCATAATTAAGAAATATGAATTCAAGTTGTAATTTATTATGTTGTTTTTTTTTTTTTTAATTTTTTTTATCACTAAGAGTTTTTACTAATATTAAATACACCCATCGAAATCATTCGCATTTCAAAGAGTTCTCAAGAAATTGCTTGAAACCAACTACTCAAAAATCAGCTGTGTCTTTGCTTATAACTTAAAATTTCAATGTACTTAAAAAATATATTGTATATTTACAATTAAGTTATGCCACAACATTTGATTATTTTTTATTTTCAAAATTTAAACTCCAATTACTAAATTAAAATTTCAATATTTTATCATCAGTCAACAAATCATGCTGTGGATGACTGCAACACTAATTTATTTAATTCAACGATAAAATAAATTTTTAATCGATTGTACATCGTAAAGAGTTTGTAAAAAATATATATGGTAAATCTTGGAAAAATAGCGGTTTCATTAAATTTTTTTTAAAATTTTTCAATATTTAGTCACTTTGAATCTTGATTATTCTGAAATTGAATCAAATCAAATGCTTAAAAAAAAAAAAAACTCTCTTAAATTTATTTTTTTTACTTATAAGATTTAAAATTAAAATTTTACTTAAAAAAAATTAAATTTTTTATCACTCAAAACTATAAGACATTAGTGGATTCGTTAAATTCGTGGTATATAATAAGCGCCCACCGTTTCTAGGTGGGCTGATTAATTTGTTAATATATATCATTAGCATGCGTGTTGGAGTCTTAAGAAATGTTTTGGCTTCCCCCAATTTAAAAATTAAAATAGTTTCCCTCCCGAGTTCCAACCACCGGTAAAAAGATTTTGACCTTTGAAAAAGCGTTTGCCTTATATTCAAATGGCTTAAACTGCTGTATGACGTATGAAAAATTTTTTAATATGATATTTGAATTAAAATTACATTTAATTAGGTATTCGAATTTGTCTTTCGTGTGTTAATTAATTGAAAACTTTCACGTTGTTAATTTAAAATATTGATGTGATCATTAATCAATAAAAATATGATATATTTATAAATATTTCATACGTGAATAACATACGGTTATTTTTTGGTTTCTATAATGACAAATGATTATCACATGGCATTCATGTGATTGTCATGTGTCAAAATTTAAATAAAATAAAATATTTAAATAAAAAATATTAAAAAATTTTCAATCTTTTAAAATTTAAAATATTCAAAATAAAAACATACAAAAAAAAATATTTTTAAAAAAATAATTTCTTAAAAAAATAATTTCTTAAAAAATTGAACTATGAGAAATTTTTTAAAAAATTCAAAAAATTCAAAAACAAAAGGAAAAAAATCAGAGAGAAAGAAGAGGGAAGGGAGAGAGAAGGGAAAAGGAGGAGATGAGTAGCTATGATCAGCTGATCGAGTCGATTAGTCCTAAACCAGGAAGATCAACATCAATAATCAAATAAATGACATATCCAAAAATAGTAAATAAAAACTTAACTGTGTCTCCAAATGTCAAATCAATATATCACGTGTTGTAAGATATTTTTGGATATTTATATATATATATATATATAATCTATTTGACTAAACGTTATTATTAATTTTATTTGGAAATTGATCGATTGAATGAAAGTTTGAGCATTTAATTGTGATTTTTTAAAATTTATGTCAAAAATCAAGAATTTAATTACAATTTGAGTACAAAATATATAATAAAACTTTTATTTTTTATTTTTATTTTTTGTACATTAAAAAATCATAATACATCAATTTTATAAGAAAAATATAAAATTTTAATATAAAATACAATTAAATCAATTATTTAAAACCCTTTGAAAATTAAATAAGAATAAAGAAAGTGGCATAAATGAATAGAATATAGTAGGAATACGAATTAAACAAATATTCAAATAACTCAACAGTACCCACGAATCCCAAACTCAACTTTTGAAAATTTGGAATATAGAATGTCTTATAATACAATAAATATATTAACCATTCATTCCCTTATCTAACTTCACAAATGATAAAGATTTTCTCTCTTTTTCATACTACATATGTAAGGATGTTCAAATTTTAATTTTAATTAAATTAATCGATCGAATTAATTTAATTTAAATAATTAATAAATTATCATATTAATTTTAATTAATTATAAAATTAATTTTAAAAAAATTTAGTTTTCATTAATCCGATTTGAAAATCGAATTAGTTGAAATTTTAATTGAAATATATTAAAATATATATAGAATTAAAAATATATGAAATTGTTTATTTTATTTCAAGTTATTAAAGTTTTTAACTTAATATTTTGATATTTAAATATTTTTATTGAATGAATTTATTTAATTTGTTACACATAAGAAAAATTAAAATTAAAATTTAATTTAATATATTTTATTATTTGGTTAATAAAAAAAATTAACCAAACAAACCCAATTAATTTCGATATATTAATTTTTGAAATTAAATTTAATTGGAATAATAAAAATAAAATAAATATTTGATTAATTCAATTTTATATAATTTAATATAAAATTAATTAAACCAATGGAATGAAGACCCATGTACATATGAGAAAATTATATATATTTCTAAATTTTCCTTGTAAACATCGAAAATTCCATCAGGATTTGATTACGACAAATGGATCAATTTAAAATTTAAATAAACTCACTTGGAGGACCACGTGCATCACGTGGGAAGTAGGAAGCTATTATTATTGTTTACTCCTAAAATAATTAAGAAATCAACTAGAATTGTTGTCTGACTCTATGATTTAGTGGTTAAAGAGCTTTTAGAACGCACAAAATTTTTAATTCGAATCAAATTGTATAAAAAAATGAACAAGAATTAAATTTAAATAATTAAATAAGACATGAGGCAGCTATACCCATGTTTGAATAATATAGATAATTAAATAACGTAAAAAAGTGGGACCAAATTTGATTCTGCTCTGCTTTCGCTATCATGGATTTCTCTTTCAAGCCATACTTTTTGGAAATTTTGCTCTTATCTACCATATAGCTATATATTTTAATAATTATTTGGGCTAAATACTAAGTTCATATTACTATTTTAACTATATTTCATAGATTTTATAATTAACTACCTTAATTAATTTGTGGGGGAAAGGGTTATTTAATTTCTTTCAACTAAAGGAATTTTTTCGCTGCATTCTCCCATATTAACCAAAAAAGCTTATCTTGAATGATAAACTATAGCATATTCTTTCTGATATACAATTTATGAAGTCTAGAAAAATAACTAGATCAAACTTAGACCTCTTTTCAATTGAGATTTCTTTTATACACACTAACCTCGGGGCGAAAGCAGAAATTGAATAAATGAAGCACTAAATAATAATTTCAAAGGAGAAAGAAGATCATAGTAATATTTTAGTGGACTCAGGCGCTGTAATATAAAAAAGGTGAAAATTTTTTGAAGGACCGTGGCCCTGACTATCCCCTGTTGCTAATAAATTTGAAACTTGTTCACAAGGAGAATGGGGGGAAATAACTAAAAAGAATGCTTTCAATAAGCTTTTTTTGTTTTTTTTTTTTGGTTTAGTACAAAATACATCTATTGCACGATAGCTAGTTTCTATGAGCATATTAACATACTTTTATGCTTGTAAATTTATTCATTTCAGCCTTTTTTTTTTCCTTCAAAACATAAACAAACTTATAATGGATGAAGGGAAAATATTATATCATGTTTATAATTCAGCAAATTCAACTGTTTTCTTCCCGTCGTGCGCTTTACGGAAGAAATGTTTGACGTAATCTGAATAAAGAACTTGCTTATAAATTGGTTTCTCACCGCTTTCGACCAATTCAGGCAACGGTCCAATCATATCACCAGGTCTTGGATTCACAAAAATGGGGACAGAAATTCTGTTCTTACTTCCATTGGCGACCACACGATGTTCAACGCTCCTGTACCTGCCATTGCTCAATATTTGCAATGCATCTCCAACATTGATCACAAGAGAACCCTTAATTGGAGGAACATGAATCCAGTTATCACCCTGGTTTCCTCTTACGAAAAGCCCCCCAATCTCATCTTGAAGGAGAATTGTGAGGGTCGAGACATCAGAGTGACGCCCTACTCCCACTGTAAGTTCTGGGTTTGGGCAAATGGGATAGTAGTTAAGGTTAGTCCTCGTTGAACCCATCAACAATGATTCTTTTGTTGCATCAATCTCATTAACATTTAGACCCTTCATTAGCACCTGTAATAGCTGTTTAATGACAACTTCAGACTTCCTCATGTAATCTAGCACTTGCTCCCTGAAAAAAAAAATAAACAGGTGATCAATCAATATATAAATTTGTTAGCGGGTTCTGTGCATGTCAAGATGTTTTGTGTTTGCAAGAAAATACAAAAAGTAATTGGACTCGTTGTTTATACCTGCAGACAGGAGGCCATAATGCAGAAGCCTCTTCTTCAGAGACGTAAAACAGGCTAAGGTAATCTTTCCACTCGAGAGCCTTCTCTGCTTGAGGGCTAAAACTTGTGCCAAACCTCACATTGTTTGAAGATGAATGTTCCTTGGAATACTTATTTTTTTCCTCAGCCGGCAGCCCAAAGAAGCTGTAAGTCGCCTCTTTAACATTCTCTAGCATTTCAACAGGCACAGCATGGTTAACAATCTGGAAGAACCCCAATTTAGAAGCAGCATCACAAATTGATTTCGCCACTTGGGGGTCTTCCCAATTTGACATATCAATGATGGGAATGGATTCTTGGGCTATGATGTTGGTCATGCACATCCTTTCTTCCAAAGGTTGGATATATTGCTTAGGGAGGGCTTTGAGACCCACTTCAGACAAGCCCTTCACTCCATTACCTTGGCTAATAACGAAATCAGTCAAAGCTGAGGGATCACTGAATGGATCAGCAAGTGTTGGAGCCATTGTTTAGACTAATTTAAGAGAGATAAGGTGTTGTTTTTGGCAGAGGATAGAGCTTGAAGAGTGCTACAATAGATTGTAGAACTAGTGTCCGGTGCTGCTTGCTTTCAATTTACAGCTATTTATATAGAATTTTGTGTAAGGTCGAAAGCAGCAATGCCGAGTTTTTGTCTTATAAAACTGTTTGCCTCACCAACCCAACCAATCCTGGCGGGGAAAATACACGTTCCATTGAGCATCGTTTTGAGTCCAAAATGGTAGGCTGAATTACGTGGGTATTCCATTCTGATTATCTTCAGCACGTTTACGTGACTTTACGGTGGTTTCCTAGCACTTTCGTAATTCTTTAATTTTGCACACATTTTCCCCTTCTTGTCAAAGTTCATTCGCAATTCCCATCTTCACTCAATTATGAATTTAAATTTACTATTTTTAAAATTATTAATTATTATTATTATTGTTGTTATTATTATTATTGTTACTAATTTTATTATTGTTGTTAAATGTTTTGAAAAATTCAGAGAAACGAAAAGATCACTAGATTGAACAAAGAGTAGATATTCTTAAATAAAAATCTAATTTCACTGGTCTAGGTTATTTTATTTTTTCCAAACCTATATGTCAAAGTTTTTGGAGGTTTTTTTTTTTTTAATCTTGATTTTTGCAAAGTGTTTTTCTTTTTTTGACAAAAAAAAATTTACCTTAAGATGATATTGCAAAAGAAATTGACAAATTACTTGTCATTGGTTCAAGTCAATTCCAATTTGCTTAAAAAATAATTAGTTTTTATAACTGCATCCCATTCGAGAAGTCACATAATTTATCCCATCTTTTATTTATTAGACTCTATCATTTCACATATAGTGTTAATTATTTTGCTTTGCACAAAGTTAAAAAATTTTGAAATTGAATTTTGACTTTCATTAATTATAAAATTTTTTTTTTTACGAAATTATTCTTGGCCTAAATAACGAGGTTTTATAGTTAAGGGTAATAAGGAAAAGTAAGGATGATTTTTCCCTAGTACTTTCGTATTTCTTTAATTTTGCCGACACGTTTTCCCTTTTTTATAAAAGTTCGTTCACATCTCCCAACTCAATCTCCGTCGTCAATTTATTCAAACCTCAGGTTCTTAGACCATGGAAATTCCATCCAACATATCTAATAATACGTTGAATGATATCCTTTAGTTTTTCTCCCACATGTCTTTATCAAATTTCCTTTTAATCATAATGATGCCGTACAAAGATTTCTCTCTTTTTTTTTTCGCTCAATTAGGAATTTAAACTTATATTTGGTTCGTCTACAATTTTTAAAATTGTTGTTATTAATAATAATAATAATAATAATAATAATAATAATAATTGTTGAATACTTTGAAGAACTAAAAGTTTTTCAAAGAAACGAAAGATCACAAGGTTGAATTAAGATCGGATATCCTTATTTAAAAATCTAATATTTCACTGGTCTATGCTGCTTTATTTTTTCTAACCTATATGTCAGAGCTTTTGAAGGCTTCCTTTTTTTATTCTTTACTTGATTTTTACAAAGAGTTTTTTTTTTTTTTTGACAAAAAAATGCTTTACTTAAGATGATATTGCAAAAAAAAATGACAAATTACTTGTCATTGGCAAAAGTCAATTCCAATTTGCTTAAAAAATTATTAGTTATTTTTTAATTGCATCTCATTGGAGAGGTAACATAAGTTATCACATAAGTTATACTCTATCATCTCATATATAGTGTTATGATTTTGAATTTGCACAAAGTTTAAAATTTTAAAATTAAAATTTGATTTTCATTGATTGTAAATTTTTTTACGTAATTACTCTTGGATTAAAAAAATGAGTGTTTATAGTTAAAGGTAATAAAGAAAAGTAAGGATGATTTTTATATAATTGTCAAAAGAAATATTATTTTGAGATGATTAAAGGTATGCAAATAAAACAATATTTATTAAACGAAAGAAGTATTAATCACTATAAGAAAATGAAATATTAGTGACAGTTTTGTAACGGCGTTTCACTTACAAACGCTGTTAGTTTCTGTGTTTTTATAAAACTTAAGACATTTTTTATCAAAATGTCACTAAATATTAAAATAGTGGCGTTTGTACTTATAAACACCACCCAAGACTAAAATTAGCAGCATATTTATTGACTAAAATGCCTTAAATAATCTTCTCTAAAAAATTAGAGTGATTACGGAAGACGTTTTTGATAAAAAATACCTTGAATAATTCTATCATAAAAATAGATAAGGGATTATTGAAGACATTTTTGGCAGACAACGCTTTGAATAATCCTTCATAAAAAATGTAAGCGATTATTGAAGGCATTTTCTGTCAGAAACGCCTTCAATAATTCAGCTAAAAAATTAGAGAGGATAATTGAATGCATTTTTGGTCAAAATACTTTCAATAAATATCCTATCAAATTTTAAGGATCATACTGTTGTTAACTATAAGGTCGTAGGTTCGATCTCTCTCTTTAGCATTTTTTGTGTTTTTAAAGGGATTTTTTGCAAGGGATTATTCAAAGCGTTTTTTGGTCAGAAATGCTTTCAATAATCGATTTAAAAAATTTTGGAGAAAGAATATTGAAGGCGTTTTCGGCAAAAAAATACCTTCAATAATCCGTAGAAAAATTTTGGAACGGATTCTTGAAGGCATTTTTGGTCGAAAATGCCTTCAATAATCCACTCAATAAATTTTTATGAGGGATTATTAAAGGCAGTTTTGGTCAAAATGCCTTTAAGAATAAATACAAAAAATTTGGAATGGATTCTTAAATGTGTTTTTAGCCAAAACGCCTTCAATAATTCACTCAATAAATTTTTATGAGAGATTATTAAAAATAGTTTTGGTTAAAAATGCCTTCAATAAAATTTTGTTAAGAATTATTCAAGGTATTTTTTTGGCTAAAAACGTCTTTAATAATTTTATAAAAAAATTTTATTTAATTATATATGTGAAGTCGTAGGTTTATGCCCAAAAAACATTTGAAGTCAATTATAGGTTTATGCCCAAAAAAACATTTGGTTTATATCTGTGATACTACGAATTACATTTTGAAAATATTTTTGGATAATTTGTAATTTTATTGCCTAAAACAATTATTCACTGCTATCAATATATAACTCATATAATTTTATCTGTCACTCTGGCTTCTATACAAATATATCCCTTCTTAAACCCCATTTTTCACATAAATCTTTATTTACACTATCAAAAGCAATATTTTTCAGCCCCATCAATCTTAATTGTATCACTTCTTTTATCATTCTAAAGATCTGCACTTTATTACTTTTCACAGCAGTAAACTGCCTCATATTCCTTTCACTGCAAATTAGATAAATGTATGCCCCCCATGCCAGTCTCGATAGGATAGATATTAGTGGCTTCCCTTTCACCCTGCTTACAGCCCAATGGAATTCCTCTTCCCAACCAAATAGCTCTCTATGTAAGTTGCAGAGCTGTAAAACCTGTTTCCACACAGTTTTAAAGTAATTGCAACTAAAGAAGATATGGCTTCTAGACTCATCCTCTTGTTTGCATAGCACATACCCTGTTTCATTTGTAATCCCCCATGCGTTCAATCTATCCTTGGTAGGGAGTTTATTTAATATCGCCATCCAAGCTATGATTGCATGTTTGTGTACATGCATCTTGCACCATATTAGCCTGTACCACACTACCTTCATTTGTTTCGGTTTCAATTCTTCCTATATAGCTGTAACTAAGTTTTCAATACCTTCCCCATTCCCCATTCCATCTTATGCCTTCCTCTGTTTGCAATCGAGTGGCATGTCTCCTCATTTGTAATAGTTTTTTCATGCTCCAACTGCTACTTGTGTAATAGGTACCTCCTATATATTACGCCTTTTAAACACATAACTATGCACCCATGCAATCCACAATAAACCTGCTTGTGAGAAAATATACCATAGATTTTTAATCATACAAGCTTGATTCCAAATTAACAAGTCTTTTAACCTGAGTCGTCCATCGGATTTAGGCCTACATAGAGTTTGCCATTTAACCCTTGCCCCTTTAGCTGATTTATTCTGCCATTTCCAAAAGTTCCTTGAACATAGCTGTATAACCTTTTGGATCACCCTTTGTGGCAGCATAAAATGTCTACACCAGTAGCTTTGAATACTAAATATGATCGATTGTATCAGTTATAATCTACCTGTATATGATAAATTTTTTGTTGCCCAACTACATATTCCTGCTATTATCTTCTCTATTAGTGGAGTACAATCCTTTATGGAGATCTTACGTGTAACTAATGGAACCCCAAGGTATCTTACAAGGAGTATGCCTAGTTTGAATCCTGGCACCTGCACTATCTCTTGTAATGCCCTTCTTGGAACACCTGTTAAAAATAGTTCACTCTTCTCGTAATTAAGCTGAAGTCCCGAATATGAATAAAATAATTATAGTACCTGCTGTATCCCAGAGATGGACTCCAACTTCCCTTTTGTGAAGATTAGCAGATCGTCAGTAAAGCACAAATGCGTTAATCTTATCTTCTTGCATTTTGGATGATAAGAAATAACCTCATAATGTGCTATTGCATCCACTACCCCTTCTACATTCTTCACATGTTCTATCAGAATCTAGTCTTCATCTGTCTTCTTTGGCTGCCAAACCTTAATTGTTGTAGCCAATGGGCTTATGTAAATAATCTTTGTCAGAATGACCAAATACACAATAGTGATGGCACATTCGAGGCCTCTAAGGAACTTCTACAGAACCGTCTCATCTCGGAGCATAACATCTATGAATCTAGGTATGTCTGTAGTAACCTCAATTTTTATGCAAATTTTAACATATTCTAGCCTTTCATAATTGGCTGTGATTCTATCCATATACAATGGATTACCCAGTGCACTTATAATGTAACTTAACCCTTTTCTTGTGTATAATTCCAATGGAACATTTCCCAGTTGTATCCAAACCGGTAACTTCTTCATTTTGAACTCCAAGGTCTTCATGCCTGGCTCCCATTTACGAACAATAATAGGCTTATTTTGAATATGCCATGGCCCTGACGCCAATACCCTAACCCTATCTTTCTCTGAAGAAAATTGAAGCACAAACAAATTAA